GGCAATAAATAGGCGGTCGAATTTTTAGAGGGGTCGAAATTTTGGAGTTTTCACGGTACTAATTATTCCATTTCAATGAAACTTAGTACAAAGATGCTCTAGGACAATGTACAAACCTAATTAGTTTGGGGTAAAAATCTGTTCATATTAATTCCCTAATAAGCATAATAATTCATAATTTTTTGGTTCTAATCACATTTCAATTAAACTTGGAGACATAGATTTTCTGTTACATTGCGCAGACCTCATTAGTTTTACACTCAAATCTGGTCATATTAATTTTCTGATTTGCATAATTAGTTTTCAGCTAAGTAATTTCGAATTATATTTAATGTGTCTCCAATACTCTCAGCACATGGGAGTTCTTTCTAAGCTTTCTTTGATTTCGGATCAAGTTCGAAATGTCCGACTGGCGGCCATTTTGTTTTAAAGACTTCAGTTCTGGATCCGTATCTGAGACATGCCTGGATTGATCGAGTTCAAACTTCACACACACACACACAAGGTACATCATGTCACAAATATGTATGTGCATTTGTTTCATGATTCGCTTAACAATAGCTGAATGATGGCCATTTTAAGACCGAAAATGCATCAAAATCGCATATTTTCACAATTCCAGAACCGGATCTCAGTCATGCATGGATGGATTTTGTTCAGATTTAGTGCGTATATTAAACATAATATAAGCGTGATGCATACCAATTTTTCTTCGGATCAAGTTCAAAATGGCCAACTGGCGACCATTTTGTTTTAAAGAATTTAGTTTTCGATCCATATCTCGGACATGCCTGGACAGATCAAGTTCAAACTTCACAATACACATCATACATTATATCATACATATGCCTGTGCATTTGGGCCTGTCCTTTTAAGGTCAAAAATTCACAAAAATTGCACATTTTCACCATACCCTGAACTGAATCTTAGTCATGCGTGGGCAAATTTAGTTTAAATTTTTTTTTGGATTGTGTTGAAAATGGCTGACTGGTGGCTATTTTGTTTTACTGAATGCAGTTCAACATCCATATTGTTGCTGCTTTGAATGTATATGTCACTCAAATATGAACGGAACGGGGACGTGTCATTGACAATGACTTGTTTTTACATTTTTAGGGGCCCAAGCCCAAAGGGCGAGGCCCCTGTTCTTATTGTCCGGTTTTTTCTTCTTTCTCCTTTCTTCTGTAACTTTTTTCGTCAAGCCGTTTGAGAAAACCACTGAACCAAATCTGAAATTGCTCTATATTGATAGTCTCTAATATGAACTGGTGCAACATGCTTTCAGAATTTTGATTGGCCAATTAGTTTGGCAGCCATATTGTATTGAAATAAAACCGGAAGTGGCTGTTTGACCACTTTCTGATGGTCTAGGCGTTTAGATTTTTTTATGGTATATAGTACTACTCATGTGTAATAAATATCAGCAATAAAAAGTTTAGCGGTCACGCGACTTTTCCCGCCATTTTGTTTTCCCTGAAAACGGCAAAAAACACTTAAAAAACTTCTTCTTCAGAATCATCAAGCAGAATGCTCTCATATATAGTATTTGGCTTCTATATATAAAGCCCATTTATGTTTCAAAAAATTATTACGATTGGTCACATGGTTTGGCCACCATTTTGGATTTCTTCTAAACAGGAAGTAGTTTTTTTACTCATGCCACACTTGAGGGATTATTTTCAATATTGCTGTATGGCATCTCTATATCAATCTCTTCAGAAACCTAAAAAAG